TCGACAAGATGACTGGGCAGACTGGCTCTCCATTGCTGAGTTTACTTACAACAACCACCTCCATACCGCAACGAATCAAACGCCCTTCTTTTTGAACTATGGGTTACACCCAAGAACGAATATCACCACCACGTCGTCCCCTCGATCCGCTTCTGCAGTAGAATTTAGCGAACAAATGAAAAAACTCCACGATATCACGAAATCCTCCCTTCTTGTAGCAAACGAGAATCTGAAGAAGTATTACGACCGGAAGAAGTCCCCCTCCCGAGAGTATCAAGCTGGCGACAAAGTCTGGTTAGAAGGGCATAACATCACAACGGATAGACCAATGAAGAAATTAGACGATAAACGCTTCGGACCTTTCAAAGTCACCCAAAAGGTCGGACCCTCCGCCTATCAACTCGATGTCCCTAAAAGTTGGAAGTCCATTCATCCCGTATTCAACGAAGCCATCCTCTCCCCATACCACGCTCCCGAATTCATCAATCAACCAATTTCCTCGCGACCACCACCCGAGATCGTGGAAGGAATAGACGAATACGAAGTAGAGAGTATAATCGCTTCCAGACCGACCAAACTGAAAGGTAGTAAACTCGACTACCTCATTCACTGGCATGGTTATCCAGTCTCTGAACGAACTTGGGAACCCGACACCAATCTTACGCATGTCGCTGATTTACTCGCCGCCTTCCATAAAACAAATCCAGCCGCCCCTCGGATTATTACCGCTTCTCTCCACTTCCGTCCTTACGAAAACTACACCGCCACTTCCAAACCTCCAATGCTTTTTGATTGGATTAGTAACAAGTTCCAAAGTGCCGCATCCGGACTCATGAGGACACGAGTCTTATAAAAGGGGAGCTAATGTGAGGAATCGATTTTTCTTATCGCATTCCCGTCATGTCGTGGTTAGCAGACTCGATCCCTGTCACTCCTCTTGCCCTTGGACTAGAGATTACAGCAGGTGTCTTATTACTTTTATCATTTTTCTTCTTATTCTCTCTTCACACTCACGTTCTATTGTATCTACAACGAGGTAGACTTGTTGTCGACCCTCGAGAAGATATCCAGATGACATAGTCACGATCCAGTGCTATGTCTGGGAATACTTCGGAGGAATATTGATAAGCGAAGAAGGTTGTAAGTCAGCGCCTTCTCATGGGCTTACTGATACAGCCAATTGTACATCCCTTACCAATACGTTTTCTCATACGATTAGTAAAGACGATAGATCGGACCACTTTCCTCCTTTTTCCTTATTGGTTAGCTAGCTGGTCAGACCACTTTCTTAGTACTTCCCTTTCTCGGTCTGACCATCGTCGTTCACTATATAGAGAAGTACATACTCGATGTATTGTTCTCCAGTTCAATATTAGTTTGGATTTGCGCTCTTACCGATACTCTTCATTCTCATACTCTGATTCACCGCCTTCAAGGAAGGACTTGACCAGACATTGGGCTTTGTTATATAGCTTCGTATTTGTTGCCTGACACACCATGATCAGCATCAGAGAAAGTGGTGAAGAGTTCAGTGGAATTGGGATCAGGACCAAGGACAAGGGAATGATCAAGGGTGCCTTGCAAGTAGCGGAACAAGTGCTTGACAGCGCTCCAGTGAGTAAGACCAGGATTAGAGTTATATCTGGCAAGGACTCCAACAGGGTAGGCAATGTCAGGACGAGTGGTAGTGGCCAGATACATTAGAGCACCAACAGCAGCAAGGTAGGGAATGTCCTTCATCAAAGCAGCATCACTGGATGTTTTGGGAGACATGTCCTTGGTGAGGTGCAAACCAGGATCCATGGGAGTGAACACAGGCTTGCAGTTCTTTATGCCAAAGCGCTCCAGAATGTCCAGAGTGTACTGAAGTTGGGAGAGGGAGATGGTGCGATTACTTGGGTCTCTAGTGATGGAAATGCCAAGTAGGTAAGAAGTAGGGCCAAGATCACGAAGCTTAAAGTGCAGGGAGAGGTCCTTGACAGCTTGGTCAAGTGCAGAAGTAGAAGTGGATGCCAGTGTCATGTCATCAACAAAGACAGGCAGGATAATGCGCACATCAGCTCTGTTAAAGACATAGATGGCAGAGTCTGAATAAGTACGCTTGAATCCGAGTTTTTCAAGCACAGTGTGCATCTTCTGGTTCCACATTCTGCCTCCCTGCTTTGTCCCATAGATGGCCTTGTCCAACTGGCAAACAAGATTGCGAGGACCCTGATGGAATCCCTCTGGCTGATGCATGTAGACCTTGACATCCATGACTCCAGGAATGCATGGGAAATGTCAATGGAGCGCAAATGGAGGTTGTGGATGGCTGCAATGGCAAGGACAACTCTGATGGACGATATGCGGACAGTAGGTGCAAATATTTCGAGGAAATCAAAGCCAGGGCGCTGGTTATAACCTTTGGCCACATATCTGGCCTTGTAGCGCTCAACAGTGCCATTTGAGTTGCGCTTGATCTTGAAGACCCACTTGCCACCAATAGCCTTGACTCCAGGAGGTAGTTCCACTAGTGACCAAGTACCATTGCGCTCATGAGCTTGAAGCTCTTCCATGGCTGCCTCTCTCCATTTATCTGCATCAGGATGCTTCATTGCATCTGCAAATGACCTAGGCTCAGCAGAGTCTCCAAAGTGTGCCACTTCATCATCAACTGCCTCAGAATCACTGTCATCACTCTCAATGGCAGGAGTAGGTTGTCTGTGTTGAAGCCACCATGGTCTAGGTGGTCTCCTAGCCCTTACAGGGCGTCTCAGTGCAATAGGCAAGTCAGGAGAAGGTGAGCGATGAGGAGGGTGATTTGGAAGCTCAGGAGGTTGATTCACAGGTGGTTTTGCATCAACGTCCAAATGAGGCCCATTGTCAGGCAATGGCTGAGGCTGCTGAAGCGCAGCTGGTGGGCCCATATCTCCCCCTGGACCTGGTGCAGGGACATCCTCAACCAGGCCCAATGGCATGGATAGCAAAGGTGGAGTGGGAGGTGGAGGCGGGACATTGTCAGAAGACCTCTTCAAGCCAGGGAAGTAGCGCTCATCAAAATCAGCTCTCTCAGAGATAACAGTGCGCTTGATGGTAGGATTGTAGAATTTCCATCCCTTGTACCCCTCAGGGTAACCAATGAACACACATTTCTCCATATGAGAGCCAAAGACACCTCTTTTGTCCTTTTGCACATGCACATAGGCAGTGCAGCCCCAAACGCGAAGGTGAGACATGTCAGGCTTGCGTCCATACCACAACTCAAATGGAGTGGCATGGGCCACTGCATCAGTGGGACACCTGTTCCAGACATGCACCAAAGCGGACAGACATTCACCCCAGAAGCTGTTAGGCAATCCAGACTCTGATAACATGGCAGTGATACGCTCAGTCAGAAGTCTGTTTGCTCGCTCTGCCACACCATTCTGCTGAGGACGATTCCTGGTGGTATGCTGTCTGACAATCCCATGGTCATCTGTGAATTGCTCAAATTCCTTGGACATGTACTCTCCCCCTTTGTCATCGCACAGAGCCTTGATTTTACGCTCCAATTGAGTCTCAGCATAAGCCTTGAATCTCTTGAAAGCATCAAAGACATCTGACTTGGCCTTGAGAGGCACAACAACACGGAATCGACTGTGATCGTCAATGAAGGTGACCCAGTAGCAATAACCAGAGAATGTGGGGGAAGAGACTTGGTGTACATCAGAATGGATGAGGTCCAAAGGATGAGCAGAGCGAGTATCAGATGAGGGGAATGGATTGGCATGCATCTTGCCAGACAAGCACGGTTCACAGACAGGATCAGGAGCAGCCTTGGATTCCAGTGTAAGCCCAGTGACCAGATCTCTCTGTATCAGTCTCTTGACATCAGCATGATGGTGGTGAGCCAATCTGCAATGCCAGAACATCAAATCAAGTGGTATAGTCGCAGTAAAATGTCCCAATTCAACACAAGCAGCAGTAGATCCATCAAAGAATGCTGCATTGTTGTCATTGATAGTTGCAGTGAACAAGAGAGTGTTGTCACGCATAAAGGACATGGAATGAGACGAAATAGTGACATTGAAACCACTTTGACGAGTTAAATACAAGACTGAGAGGAGATTATTTCGAAGATCTGGTACATGGAGCACTCTAGAGAATTCCACAGCCCTAGCCACTTTGCCATACATCACAGGATTAAACACCACAGTACCAACACCAGCTGAATAGACAACAGTGTGATCAGCCAGCTTGATTGGCACACAATATGGGGTATAGTGGTGCACCCAATGACGATAAGGTGTCATATGAGAAGTGGCACCTGTGTCTGCATTCCAATCAATGTCAGCATCAAGTTGGAGAGGGCAATGAGGATCAGAGGGATGAATGGAATGAAGACTTGCATTTCCAGCTGATTCAGTGACCACAGTAGATAAATTGGCATTGTTGGGCGAAGATTTGGGCTGCTGAGAGGTATTCTGAGAGTTGCTGGAGCCTGCCTGAGCCTTATTGCCACGCATGTAGCGATTCTTAGCACCCTCCACTGCCTGTTGGCGACTAGCAATGTATCTGTGACATTTGTCTTGGGTATGACCAAGTAAACCACAGAAATCACACTGAACGCGAGTAGAGGTGGTGGATTGGTTGCAATGATGGCAGTTAGGATGGGTGCAGGTGCTATTGGCAGTGGTAGATGAAGAATGCAAGGCAGAATCGACTTCAGCACGACGACGGCGATTGACCTCTTCAGCAAGGAAAGCATCCCTGAGCTGGGTCTTGTCCAAGGTGCCCAGAAGTAGTAGAGATGAAGTGAAGTGGGCATATTGATCAGGAAGCGCCCTAATCATGGCCATGCATGTCAATTCATCGTCCAATTCAGACAATGAGAAGCCAGTAGGACGAAGATTTTGAATCTGATGCATGCCTTCGTCAATTCTGGTCATGAGAGACTGCAGGGACTCGTCCTCCTTCTTTCTGATAGAGAAGAAGTCGTCATAGGCATTAAATCTCGTCCCAGGCTTCTTAGAGACGTGCACAATTGCCAGTTTCTCCCAGATCTTGACAGGATCATCAATGATGCCATCAAGATGGATGCGCTGCTCTTTGGTGACATTGAGGTAAAATGCACCAGCAGCCTTTTCAGCTCTCAACTCCCATTTCTCTATTGCTTCAGTGTCAGTCCCAGGACACTTTTCAGCGCCAGAGACGAGCCTCCACAGTCCCTTGGTCATCAACTAGGCTTGCATTTCACCACTCCACTGGGGGTAGTTAGTGCCAGACAAGGGATGGAACTTGGGATCAGAGTCAGACATGATGGGTGTTGTATAAGACAATAGAGCAATGATAAAGGATGTAAGAGACGGCTATAGGCGATGGAATAGTGGCAAATACAATGGGCAACAGTAGGAGGCGAGCAGATAAGATGGTGAGGCGGTAAAGAGAGGATATGGAGAGGGTCAGAAAGCGCAAGGATAGGTCCAAATAGGGTCCAAAAAGCGTCCAAAAGCGATCCAGGAGGGTGCTAAGGCTTCCTAGTGCTGCTACAGGGTTACGCCTGTGTTCCCCTTTCAATTCCACACTGATATTAACAGAGAAATCGCCTCAAGACAGTGTTGGTTAATAGGGCTTGTATATGAGTCAACAAAGTGACTTAAGCTCCCCAAACACCGCAGACTGAGAGAGGCTCTAGGCAACAGCAAACTGAGGCAATGCAGGCGAGCTTCACAGTCTATAGGCTTGTTCTATCTGATAATGGACAGAGTAGAGAAGATTGGAGCTTTATGCACACACCAGATATGCCAAAAAGCGAAAAATAGGGCAAAAAGTCGAAATTGATGCAGAGACAGATAAGATGGATGGATTGCCACCAAATCAGAGGTATAGGGAACATTTTTATAGAGTAATAGATGGCCCAAATATCACAAGAAGTGAAGCACAGGATGTGGAGATATGCAATAGGGGTCCAATAGGGGTGAAAGTGCCAAAAATGCGAACTTCACAGAGGATGATGGAATGGATGGATTGCCCCCAAATTGAGGGTGTAAAGTGCAATAGTATAGGGTAGTAGATGGCTCAAATAGGGCCAAGATCCGAGCACAGGATGTGGAGATATGGAATAGGGGGCCAAAAGGTGATCAAATGATGATGAAGGCTCACAGAAAGATCCAGCTCAAATCCAACCGCTCTGACAGGTCTGCTAGGGTTATTTAGGCCGTAGAAGACGATGGTAGAAGTTACAGGACAATCAGATAAGGATTGGGCGAGATATGGTGCAGATAAGACCAAAAAAGCGTCCGAAATGGGGGTAACTTGCAACAAGGAGTTGTTGTTGGAGATCAAGATGAGATCAGAGTAATCTGAGGTGATGGATGAGATAATAAGAGTCCCAGAAGATGATGGTTACGATGGATAAGCAGTAGGACGCTTGGATGGTGAGATATGAGGTCAGGAAGATGGCTAGAGCACAGGGCTCATAACCTATTAAGAACAAAGCTTGAAGGAAGTGTCTAGCCACTTGCTGAGAGCAATCAGGGACTGGAACTAGAGTCCAATGTGAGTAACTAGAGAATGGGAAGCATTGGACTCTGCAGTACTGTCCGAAGTTTTGTAAACAAAGGTAAACAAAGCAGCCACAAAGACGAAATAATAGAGAACACAATCAATAGTGAATGATAGAAGAATAGATAGAGAAAGGAATGAAAATATATAGGTAGCACAAAGGTGCAGAATCACCAAAACTAACAGGATCCCTTTCTAATGTTATAGTAGCCAGAGTAGTTTCACTCGTGCAACCATGATTAGCCTCAATCAGTAATTATACCGAAAGGAAAGAATTTAGCACATCCTCCAAGAAGACAGATTTGTTTCAAACACACCGTTGAATTCACGACCGCCTGGTGTGAACTAGGATTCTGCAACAGTTGTGACAAACGAACCACAATGGACTCCAAAGGTGGTTGGAGATTGAGGTCGAGAGATAATATCTCATTGATATTCCCCTTTTCTCGAATATTTGCACGTTCATTTAATCTGGAATCAGATATATCAAAGACCATATCGATAAATGGAGTTATTCTATACCCACAGGACCACTGCAAATCAGGCATCATCATATTAGTGCGTGATGTTAAGAATCAGACGATAACTTACACGTGGTGTTTGCGTATGCACTAACAAGGCACATATGGAAAGGAATCCTTTTTCATTCCATTATGGTTCATGAACACACAATCACACCGAGTAAAGGATACATACCAATACCAGTGAATTTCTCCTACAGCTAAGACGGTCAGATATATACTTTGAAAAGTCACAAGGAATATGCCACGATTAAGCACTAGGAATGTTATCGATGAAATGGTGCCTCTTGTCCTATAAGGTACTACTGATCAGTACTCATCTGTGTAGCAGAAGATAAACCAGATAAAGAAGATGGGAATGTGGAATATACCGCTGACTTCTTGAATACTATCCTCTTGTAACCGAGAAAGCGCAACAACTACACATATATCACTTATAATCTGGGAACATCAGGCTGTAGTCAGAATACACAATACAAAGTGCATAACCTTGGGTGGCATACGTCGAAAGTTTTAGTGCCAGTATACGCAAGGCCCAGGTATGAGTGTTGTGCCAACAGACCAGAAAGAGCTATATAGATATGCGTTGATCAACGATATCATACTACCACGGGTTAGCAACCTACTCATCCCGAAACCTGTGAAACAAAGGAAAGAATAAATAAACATATCTCATATTTGGAACGAACACAGCACTCGCCTAAACCACACGACGCAAAAAAGACCTAGAGTGAATGTAAATACAACACCCGACCAACAACAAAAACTCACTATGATCGAAGCCACTATCCAACTATTCTTATTGACTATGCTACGAATAAATAAAGGCAATCCATCCTATCGGGGAAAGACACACCTGTGTAAATGTGGTGAGCGAAGAACAGCTGTGCGCTTGACCACGATCAGGAAGATATCGGAATAAGGCTATTGTGGGATCACGTACGTGCTTTGCACGATATATGTTGTGGCAGTCTCTGCGGAATATCCCCTACGTTCGCCATCACTCGGTGGCATCAGCTATGGAAAGGGACTTTACGCACCACGGCAGAAGTGTAAGAGCAGACGGATTGTCGTAATTTTGAACCTGAAGGGTAAATCCTAGTCTTCAAAGTCTGGATATTTGTGATGAACTGGAGACAAACCATATAGGCGAAAATTGATTTGGCTAAAAGGATCCAATTCAATGTGCTAAAAATGCTATTATGAAACACTAGCTGAAATTCTGTAACCTTGATATGATACTTTTTTCGTACATGATAAACGAAACCTGGTGTGTTAGGGTAAGAGCACCAAAACATTCTTGAAATGACATTCCTACTCGCCAGTGTCTTTACAGGCCACCGATCGTTGTAATTGTGAAAGTAATAACAACCTTGCGAAAGTGTACACCCTATAAAACTTGCTAAAGCTTCATTTTTCGTGTAGAAGTGACTAGTCATATGAGCTAACATGGTTGCAACCAGGAGTCCTGTAAGAACGACACTAAGTAAATGCAAGCATATATCCAACGATAAGTCCGTACCCCAGTATGAGTATCCCAAGTATTTTACGTCTGATAGTGAAGACATAGCTGTGATATTTGACTTGGGGAAGTGAAAGAGAGGTGAGTGGCCTTCAACTTCGCCCTCTCGGTGAGGTTTAAGGAGATGGGAAGCGCTGTTATTAGCATGTGCGAATGTTGTATCTAAGGCAAGGCGGTACTTATCAAGACCTCAATCTATCATAACACCGCAAACATGGCTGGTTCAGAGTAACGGGAGATTAGGGGATGCAGTTCTGTCTGATCACTGATCTACTCGGGATGCGACAGATTGAAAAATAAGTCATTCCTGGGCCACCTGGAGGGTTGCGGGCGCGGCCTTGGTTCTTTGACGCTCCAATGATGGCAAGAGGCATGGCAAAAGGAGAAATGAACTGGAATATGACATCAACGAAACGAAACAAGTGTGCAGCCACTAAAATCCAAAGATCAAAGCGTGCTGCGTGACGTGAGTTCCTGCCAACAGCCTATGTAGAATACTCACTAACTATCTTCGGTCACTTCAGAGCTATCAAAGGGTGCAGAAGGCGACGGCAGGAAACGAGGCTCATGATGACCACCACAATTTAAAACGACATCCGTGACGATCTAACCTTTACTTATTAGAGCCAGTTCAGTGATATCACGGCAATTCGCTGAGCCTCGGAAAATTCCGCCAATTAAACTTACAGTAATACCGGTTCTGTCTATCGAACCTACGGTGGTCGTTTGGTTACGGTTGGAATTTTAAACACCGCGGAACACGGCATCTTAGTATATTCAACAGCCGCTTCTATACCTCTAATTTGCCCATGCAGTGTGACCGTGATTGTTGTGAGTATCAATATTATTATAAAATGTGCTTTGCAAGTACAGGGAAAATTGGTGAAGACCAAAATGTCACGAATATGGAAAGGAAAATAGTTACTACATAAAATTTGTACGGCAAAGTTCGCAGGCAGGCCAGGGATTGAGTGCAAGGGGGTACAAGGCATATGTCAGCTGGAAATATTAGGTAAGCAGAAAGTCACGCTTACCTACTTTGCATGCTCAGTCAACCTCGAGTGGCCAGAGTAAAATAAATAAATTGGGTTTTAGCTGATCTGTGGAGTGAGCGTTCTGATGGAATGGATCCAGAATAGTGACTGCAGCGTTGGACGAGATTGAGCACTCAGTGAGCGGTAGTAAGGAAAAAACCTCGTCGTGTGTGATGGTGTAACCTGTAACTAATAACATGGCCACAGATCCGCATAACTGTGCAGTACTAAATTTTTTATGGCTGTCGCACTATAGTCAACTAACCAAGCCCTGTCATTCAGCTCAGATAATCTTGCCATAAAATGTTGCTAATTTGGTGGTCATATAACGGTATAGCAACCCTGGTGCCGTGCCGTGGATAAAACGTGAGTTTTTATTTTATTCTTGTTTTATGACTTTATCACTTGTTGCCACAGTTGCCACCCACGTTTTACGGGCAGTCACATATTGTAAGTTATTATATTATCCGTGTTTATTGATTCATCCAGGTATTCTCGCTTTTGCACCGGCATTATCATCTCTTGTTTCCTGCTCGTTGATTACTTTTCTGTTTTTTCAATGTAAATATAATAAATACAGGCTACCACATATGAGAATAAGCACAATATACTACATTCATTTTTACAGATATGGACATGCCCTTAGGAATATTCAAAGAGACCTATCGAAATTGTCAGTCGTTGAAAGAAATCCGATGCCGTCGCCGGCATTCCAACCGTAACCAAACGACCACCGTACGAACCTCCCTTCTTTAAAGTAAGGCCGTCCAGCCATGCGCAGCATTAATATTTAGTGCTTGGGCTTTGTTAAGGTCGAACTCAAACGTGACACACCGCTTCCACCGAACTCCCGGGACCACCTTTGGATTCAGATTCAGAAGGACGCGCTTCCCTACCTCCCCAGTCTAATCAGGCCTCCCATCGGACAGGTCTATAGAGAAGCGCGGCCATACGCTTGGTTCGGATATACGCGTCGTCGACAAGGCAGATCCACACTTTCACTGGCGGCGGTAGGGATTACTTCCGACACGCATCCTCTACTCATTGCTTATACCTCCCCAAGCTCGCTCTTTCAGGATTCACACCACAGACAAATTCTCGCATCGAAGTACGGTCTGATAGTAAATTCAAGATAATAAGATCATCTTAATTGAAAGTATAAAATACAGCCATCAACTTTTAGCTATTACTCAATGTTTAGGGGTCGTTTGAGAACCAGAAAACTCCTTGATGATAGCTCCGACATGGGATTCATGAGCAATCTGCGCGAACCAGCTAGAGCCATGAGATGCCTGTGCATTGTCCCCTCCCGAAGTAGTCGTGGTTGTCTGACGAACCTCCCTGAAGAGCTCTTGACCTAGCTGAGCCCCGACGGATACTACCTCCTTCGTACTGCTCCATAAGAAATCTTTTTTTGCAGAGGTGACCGATATCACTTGAGCAGACCCTCTGGACTGCTTCGCATCATATTTTCCCGGAACATATGGCCAGTGTTCCCTCATCTCCTGCTCGAAAGGTAAGAGCTGACAAACGAGGGCAGGGTCTTCATCAATGTTTTTCTGTAATTGAGGAAGCATATGCGCCTGGCGTAACACCGAGGGATGAATAGTTTCGTGTGTGACGTCGTCAGTCTTCGTGGGCAGTGTTCGACTAATTTTGTCTGATAAGATGAAAATACCTGTCCGCGGGCTAGATGGAAAAAACACCGACATCAGTAGGTGAATACATCTACCCCCATTTGCACTCACTCGTGTGGCTGCTGTTCTCCCCAGAGTGCCACCGGGTCCGGTAATGATTTAATGTACGTCATGTCAACTGACAACATGTCCTCGATGTTTGCCTGTGAACGAAATGAGATGATCAAGCCTTTGCATCCTTCACTTTCTAACATACCACCATCCAAGTGAGGGTCAAATCAGAGAGATCATGATCGTGCCAGCCTCCACCAATCTAGTAAAGTAATGCTTATTTAGTCGATGAGCCTTACACGCAGGGGAAAGACCTACATCAGAGTGAGAACCTGATGAAAGTGCGAGAGTCATCAAAATAATGTCCATATTAACATTTGAAAAGGCTTACCAGTAAACCAACACTATAAAAGACGTTAATTTACTTGAATGTCACTAGATATGGATGGAGAAAAACACACCTGCTTAAGAACCTGACCCTTTTTGCGACCACCTGTTGTCTGGTCAAATTTCGCACAATTCTACGTTATCGAACACGTCACTTCTGATATCCTTATACCAAGTCGTTGACGCTCACAAAGTCTGCCCTAGTTTCGTTTAATGCAAGGGCTTGATATGCGCGCTCGATATGCTCTCCAAGGAAAGTATCAGAGAACCCAAAGAGGGACTTAGTCGATGGTGCATGGTGCGTCAACTCTTCAGGCAAACCCAGAGAACCAACTGTGTCGAAAACGCCAACACATCTGCGGGCCTTTATTTGAGTCAAAGTCGGTGCACACTACGATATAGCCTTACTTGATTGAAAACGTGTCTTGGTCGGAGTCGGCTCGTTTTTTTCCAGGAGCGTCATGAGATAACCAAGGGTCAAGCTTTTTTTGTAAAGCTGTCTTCTCTGGAAGGCACTGTCAGCTCAGATGTATGAAAAGCGACGGGAAGACTCGGACGTGCCTGCACCATCCTTGAGTTTTCCTAACTTTTGATACGACACGAAGATATCGGCAAAATTATCCATATCAGTACGGTTCAGGACACCGATGGCTCCCTGTTTGTGGGAGTTCAAGTTAAATGGAGGATGACTACAGAAATCATGAGAGACGGACGATGATCATTGCTATCATACGTGCGGTGTAAGCACCCTACAAGTCTGTCAGAATATGTGTAAACCATATATTATTTCGAACAACTTACCCTAGAAAATCCGAACAAATATATCTTTGCGAATTCGACGTATCAGTAAGGTATAGAAGATTGCATATGACGTATATATACCTCATCTCCAGGATGGAAATTTCTAGATACACGCCGTGCAAGCAATTAGCAATTGAAACAAGAAATAGATATCTACACTCACTGTGCAATAAAAGCATATGCTTCTTGAACTTTGACGACTAGGGAGAAGAGTCAAGTTCATATACATTCGCTGACGTATGAGTAGTGTACCTACCAAGAGAATATCCGGTAGCACCTTTATGAGAAAACTTCTCAGCATGCTAGTACTAGATTAGTGGGTATATGCAAGAAGACCATACCTTGCACGTATTCCGAGTAAAGATTGGGCTCGCTCCCTACACCCGTCTGGTAAAATACGATTTGTGGAATGGGAAAATCGCTAGATAATGGAACATTTTCAACTCCGCGTCAGTCGAGTTAATCTATGGACGACGTACGGCCGTTCGTCAACATGATTGAGAGCTCGAGAGAGTTTCTGCAAAGACATATCAGCCAATATGTGACCAGCGATCGAGGCCTTACTCACGAGAATGTTAGTATACATCCATCGTTCTTTCACGATAACTCCATCCTGCCATGTTCTGCGACAAGTAAGCGTGAGCCGACAAACTCGGTATATCCTAACAAACACGCTACCCACCCGTCGCAGCATACAATAATCCTTTTCTTTACTTTACGCTGCTGAGCGATTGGCTCTGTCGAGGCCCTTGGCAGAGAGAACTCGGAGGCTTCACTAGAAACAGTGATGAACTGAGATGCAGACATGATGGAAGAGGGAAGGTAGGAAATTGCGAGTTTTCGAGAAGGATAAGCTCTAAATATATGGCGTCAGAAATGTTCGCCGATAGTTGATTGACCTGGTCCAGTGAGCCGGGTTATCCACATCACATCGCTGTTATTTTACATCCGGTGCCGGCAAACATTAACTGAACAGGTATGACCAGTCGCTAACCGGCCAAAGCAATACTTACAACGCGATATGATCGGAATAGCATCAGCTGGATGAGCCTTTTGTCTAACTGCTGCCAATTATATTACCACAAGAAATACTCGGTTTCTGGGTATGAATGCACGAACAGCCAACAGTTCTTGCAGGTGCTATTAATAATATCCACTAAAGCTACTTGGGTAAGCCAGTCATGTGCCTACATGTCATTCTTGCACAGCAGCTACTATACTCTATACAGACTAAAAGGCTGTGTATAAGCTCTCAGTGGAGGGAAAAGGTCATCGGGATTCACGTACCCAATAACCACAGAGTCCGACGAACGTGATCTCCGCTCCTTACCCCCTTCGGCGGGAGAGCAAGTATACACCGATTGTACAACACCACAGGCGTGTGATATACAGCGCTCAGTTAACTGAATGAGGAATGCGATGAGCATTAAAAGTCTATTCAATCTGGAGATATCGAATCGGATACACACAGGATTCTAAACCCGATCGCCAAGGTCAAGGTCTCTCGTAAACCACAGCGTACTGTAACTGCAGTTGGGAATCTGGCAATTGTGATACGTGATGGTAAGAGCCACAAAAGCTTATTAAGTGGAAATTACTTTCTATAAGGGAAGAGAAGACAGTTGAACGTACCTATTATGGTGATTACCTGATGAATCATTCAACTCCTTCAACACGTTCTTTCGCCATCGTTCGCTGCACCATAGTCTCGTGCGTTTGTGGCGATGATGAAAAAACAAGTCGTAAATGAAATTTGTAGCAGACGTGGTGATCTCCTAAATTACAGACGAAGATCGGATTCCGCGCGATTTCACCTTGAAACCCGTGATAGTGGGACTCACAGACTGAGGACATCTGAGCACTACTTATCCAACTCTTATCGTCTGATCGCACAAGCCGATTCAAAACGGTCCCTCCCACTTTACTGGGTGCCATGAACCTAAAAAATTGCAACACGAGAGAGACATTGGGCTGGTAGCATAGAACAAAAAGGGAAAAAGTTAGGCAGATACCTGATACAGACATGACTCGGTCACCGTGTATCTCTACTTTGAGCTGTAGACAGTCAAAGCAAAACTGTGAGCGTGGAGGGGACTATGTCTTAGCGTTAGAACTCGTAGATTTGGGGAGGACTTTGAGAAGAGGAAGAAAGACTGATCATTGGCATTACATTATGCCTAAAGAATTGGCCAACAAACAGCACCTAGTCAGCGCTGATAAGCAGTTGCCAATAGAGATACTGACAAGCTCGTTGGCAAGTTCACTACTTACGCACAGGCCCGAATTCCATGACGTGACAATGATCATGTGATCGCCTGTGACCTGTAGCGGTGGATCGTTAGTTACGGTTCGACATGCCGCCTCCGGCAAGTACTTTTTAACAGCCGCTGCATGTATACCTGTCATTAAGTAAAAAATACTAAATGAACATTAAATACCTGTAAAAGAATCATTTGTGTGACTTGTGATAACCCTCAGTGTGCACGAAGTTTGTGATGCAAAGAGTATATTGCTATGACTTTTACACGTTGACACCAAGACAGAGAGTGCACCCTACACAGCTATCGTACAAGGTATGTAAACGGCCCACTTCAAGGCAAAATTTCCACTGCTCCAGCCTCAATGGCCTCATGCATAGCAGTAATTCCAACCTCTAAAGAGAGGCAACGTGTAAAGACCGCACGGCTCACCCCAATGACATGGGGGGAGGTGGATTGCCTACATATGTATGATGTTAGATCATTTTTCAAAAGAAAAGGATTAGAGGACTTACCAATTAGAAAATAATATGCCAATCCTGCGGCCCCGTGTTACCAAATATAACTGCTGACCATTGCTGACCGTCTCTGGCACCTCAAAGACTTGCCCGAGGTATGTATGGGTAGCGGGGGGAGTGGGCACGTTTCCGGGGGCAACCACAGCGGCCGGTGCAGCCCCAGAAGTGGCAGATGTAGAGGTGGTGGGGTGGGTTGCACCAGCCGGGGGGGGAAGAGGCATTGTCGGCTGTAGTAGACAGGGAAGCAACTGTAACAACGAAGAGTTAGTTACTCTGGCGCACACAAGAACACACTATAAAGGTAGTGATGAGGGAGTGGTTACTGTGAGGAATCGATTTTTCTTATTGCATTCCCGTCATGTCGTGGTTAGCAGACTCGATCCCCGTCACTCCTCTTGCCCTCGGACTAGAGATTACCGCAGGTGTCTTATTACTTTTATCCTTTTTCTTCTTATTTTCTATTCACACTCACGTCCTATCATACCTACGACGAGGTAGACTTGTTGTCGACCCTCGAGAAGATATCCAGATGACATAAGCCACGATCCAGTGCTATGTCTGGGAATACTTCGGAGGAATATTGATAAGCGAAGAAGGTTGTGAGTCAGCGCCTTCTCATGGGCTTACTGATACAGCCAATTGTACATCCCTTACCAATACATTTTCTCATACGATTAGTAAATACGATAGATCGGACCCCCTTCTCCTTTTTACTTATTGGTTAGCTAGCTGGTCAGACCACTTTCTCAGTTCCTCCCTTTCTCGGTCTGACCATCGCCGTTCACTATATAAAGAAGTACATACTCGATGTATTGTTCTCTAGTTCAATATTAGTTTGGATTTGCGCTCATACCGATACTCTTCATTCTCATACCCTGATTCACCGCCTTCCAGCAAGGACTTGACCAGGCATTGTGCTTTGTTATATAGCTTTGTATTTGTTGCCTGACAAAATATTGAACTCACCTCCTTCAAATCCTTTTCCAGAGCCCCTCTTTGGAAAACCATTTCCTTACACCCTGAAAAAGACTGTCATTGCCACTGCACCGGTCTAAACCTTCATCATCACCTTCTCCACACCTTTATCATCCCTATCCCTCTCCTCACTATCGTCATCGACCCCTCACCATCCACACCACTACACCTATTGTCGTTCAGTCATCTCAAACTGGACGCCTTCTCTACCATCACCGCTCTCGTCCAATTCTTTGCGTTCTTTGCCATCATCAGATACCTACAAACCGGACTCGTCAGCGACGTCGTATACCTCCATCGTGTCTACATCCCAACAGCTCTCAGAAGAGTGGGTATCAGACGCAGACCGCAGACACCAGAGAGATTTCCTCGCAGCCCTCAACAAACCGCTCCCGGTCCTCCCCGTCCCTACTGAAGCCCGTACTCCAGACGCGGAAGGAACGGTCGAACAGATCACTGAGTTGTATCAAGACTCCTCTGCTTCGTCTTCTCCAATCGATCCGATTGAGGAAATCATCCTCGACATAAACGACGCACTCGCTCTCACCCAATCCATTTTTTACCATTCCGCCATCTGTAGGAGAAATTCTCGCAGTCTCGAGGAGGTACTCCAACGTCTCCGACAGAGCACGGAGAGAACTTTTAATCTTCATATCCCTGTGGCACGAACAAATTCCGTTGATCGACTACTCCGAGAGCCTAGTACGCCCGAGTTACGAGAATACTCAGAGGGTTAAGCTCTTGAAGGGAGTAGCCAACGTACAAGAGCGAAACCTGCAACTTTCGCAGAGTCACATTCCAGACCTCCTCGACCTTCATCAAATCCGCCCTCTTTCTTTTCCAGACATACCCAGCCGCCTCCTCCCTTACGACTTCGAACACACCTTGCTTTGCGGCATTGTGTTAAGGAAGAGGCCTCACGAGGAACCTACCTACGATATCCCATCCTCATTTTTTACATCTGACTACTACAACACCTACTCCGCCTCTCCTGTCAGTTACCAACCTATCCAGTACTTCTGCATCGGCAATCATCTAGACCACCTTTCTATTGTCCAATATCTAACACGACTTCGCCGAACTCTCTACCTCCCTGAAGTCCAAGATCTTGACACATTCGGACCACGGTTTGGTCTTCAACACAGCACTTCTATTATAATTGTCACACCCTCTACCAAAGATCACATTCGACGAGTTGTTGCTGTGTTAGCACAATTTGATCAGCTCATCGCAACTGCTCAGAGGAAATCCCGTGACGGAGAAGATTACACAACCAAAATCAACAATATTCGACATGTTTCAGAATACGTCGACGAATATTACTGGATCTTAGAAATCCTCACCCCATTTGTTGTTAACCAACAATCTGATCACCCCGAATGTTTCATTGTTACAGTTCTCCAAAGCAATTTCTGGGCCGTTATTAACCATAGCCCACGAACTTGTATCTATCCGCAGTACTCGTACACCTACCAAGGTCGAAGAGGAGAAGCACCGCTCATCCCGTCGGTTGAACAGCTTTTTGCACCTTGCGCAGAAAGGATAGAACGAGAAACAGGAAGTTCGCTAACGGACATAGTTGGAGGAGAATCTAGCAGTGAAACTGAGTCGGAAAGCGAAGAGTCTACTCAAAGCGTAGAGTACTGGAGGCCCCGAGAAGCAGAAGGAGGAGACTTCCCTAGTAACTTTACATTTGACCCAGACTTTAATTAAAAAGGACTCATTATCTAAAAGACCCGTTATCTAAGACTCGTTATCTAACCCGTTAAAAACTGGAGCCCTACCGAGAACCCCGTCCTTTGGTCACTCCTGACACACCTCCCCCACAATCTCTAGGAGCTGCTGCGGAAGCTCTAGAACCCGAAAACCAACCCGACGATTGGTTCAATCAGGAATCTTTAGACCTTGAACCTGATCTAGCGGCAGCAATGGCCGACGAAACAAATCAAGGTAGCAAAGCTGTCCTTGCCACTCCTCCGTTCGAATTCATTGGTAAAAAGGAAATGTACGTTGACTGGAAGAACGCCTTAGCCAATTACTTTTTCGCCTACCCCAGAAGTTTCCAAACCAACTCCTCCAAAATCCTCTTCGCATTATCCGGAATCTTGTCTGATAAAGCCAATGACGCCTGTCACACATGGAAGGCGAATTTCAACAACAAAACCGCAGTGCTAGGAGACCTATTTGCACCACGGAATTAGGGAACTATCTCGGAATTCATCAAGGAATTACATAACAAATTCCTGGATCCCCATCTCAAGTTGAAAGCAGAGATTGCCCTTCATAATTATGAACAGCGAGAAATGATGGTAGACGCATATTTTGGAGGACTCGAATCCAAACTTATGGAAGCAGGGTTACCACCAGATGCAGATGAAAGTTATCCGTTCATTCACAGTATCCTTTGCCGCAACCTCTCTCAGTTCCTTCGTGATTGTATCTCGCAGCAGGAAAACCTACCCACCACGTACTTAGAATGGAAGGCAGCAGCAAGAAAATGGGAACAGTGAAATGAAGAACTTAATCTGGAAAGGAAAAGAGATAGACCCCCTCAACAGAAGTCGCCATCTCAGTACCAACAATATCAACCGCTGTCGATGATAAGAACTGTTGTTAGAAAACCACACACAAAACAAACTAACACACAATCCTCCCAGATTCCACGGAACTTGTTTATGGGCTTTGCCTCCTAGAACAGTGGAGTGGTCTGGTTGTTCGTGGGGTGGTACGTATAAAGATCCTTCAAAGTAAAACCCAGAGGTGTATGAGTGTGGGTTTTGAGGAGGAGGGATAGTTGAATTTATAGAAGGATAGGGGCTTTGTGACGAGTATAGACGAGCACTACCTTGCTAATGGTAGCACAAGGTAGGTTTGAGAACGACGAGGATGACGAGGTGACGAGGTTCCCAGTGATAGCAGGCTCCTGACGCACAAACTGTAGTGCTCAGAAGGACTCTAATCAAAAGGGATGACAATGACTTCAAAAGTGGGAAGTGACGATGACAGCAGTTGACAGTGGTAGAAGTAGGAAGTGTTGTGACCACACTGGATCACAAGTAGCAGAGTAGTGAGCTTGAGAGTAGAGAAGAAGTCTGGATTGGAGTTCTTGTTCTTTTTTTTTACAAGGTAAAATACAGGGGTTTATATAGTAAAAGAAAAGTAGGCTATGCACAGTATAGCTGTGCAAAAAGAATGAGAAAGAATATGAAGGAAGGAATGTACGCTGACGAATCCTGCGTAGGTAGCACAGGATAAGATTGTCAAAAAAAGGAAAAGAAAGGGATAGAACAATAAATGCTGTGAGTAATGTCACAGGTTTGTACAGCCATAAAGTAAAGTCCAATAGCAAAAAGAGAGCAGGAAAATCATGATGTCATGGGAAGATGCAGTAAAAAAAAGGGCAAGGCAAAACACTATCAGTATCAACACAGTTCCTTTATTGTCAGTCAGGCATTCTAAAAAAATATGTGTCCATAAAAATGATTCAAAAATCAAAAATAATCGCACTGTAAATGAATGTTCTGCTGAAGAAAAAGAAACTGGAGCCACCGGTCCACCACCTAGTCCAAATCCGACAGTTCCATGGCCTTACCAATGGACTGGTTGTGTTGGACCACCTGATCAAACGAGGGAGGGAGAGGAGTAGTCCCAATTTGGAACAAGTGAGTCCCAGGCAGCGTGTGGTAGGTGTAGCTGTAGCGAAGACGATGGACAAAAGATAAGTGTACCCAAGTGAATGGGACCGCGATGAACATGGGCGACGCAAGGGGATGAACCTTCTCCAGCTCAAAAATTACCCACCCACGCTCCAACCAGGCAAGACGAGCGACCGATGTTTTGATAGTATATGATGGCAGATCGACGTCATGAAGATGGACCTGTTGCCCTATTTGGACCGGCCACCGGGGCTTTGCTGATATCAGCAGTGGCACGTGGTAGTCAACGGATCGGCGACGGAAGCGGATAGGAAGTGGTGACATCAGAAATGGTGGGGGAGCAAAGAAGATGAGGAGGAGGAGGGTGGAGGTGACGAGGAGGTGAACTAAAATGGGGACCCAGAAATGACCATCGGGTGAGAATAAAAAGGAGAGGAAGGGGCCCATGGTGGGGCTAGGCAAAGGAAGGGGAGTAAGGGAAACGACAAAAGCGAGGGCGCAATGCAATGTGTAGCCAGTGGCGACGCGAAAATTTGCCGAAATGCCGAAACGTGGAAAGTACCGGATGGAAAAGCAAAGGTGAGCGTGACTGGATTGCCTAATAGAGGTGGTGCTGATCAGCCACAAGTTCGAAAAGGGCAATATTAATTACTATTCCACGTGGCACTGTGCCTGTGTGGCGCAAAGGCGAGTCTTTTTGAATATTCGCTTCGTTATTGACACCTGTCCATGCTACCAATCAACTTTGGTGCATGACACCGCGTTATCAGCAGAACCAAGACTACCCCCCACCACAGCATCAACAAACAGTACCGCGAACAGAGACGCGAAGACCATGGTATATCCAACAACGACCGTATTATACTCCATCACATAGACCACTGCCCCAGAATGCAGTCCATCCAAACACAGCAGGAACATTTGGAGGATCAGGTGTACCTATGGAGATTGGGAGTTCCAACACGCAGAGACAACATCGGCCCAACCCAAATGTTACTTGTTACAACTGTGGCGAACGAGGCCACATTGCTAGAAATTGCCCACATGGAAAGATGGCAATACGATATATGGAAACGGAGGAAACCAAAGACACTCCCACTACATCGTCATTAAAAGAAATCGAAGCGCCCCCGAAGGATTTTCAGAAAGGTCAGGAGTGAGCACGGACTCTCTGACCCGTAATGTTGTACTTAACCCTCGTATGTTACCAACGACTGCAATGAAACGAGTTGATCAACATCTACGTGCTGTAACTGAAACCTATGCAAAGCCACATTCACCGGAATGGTTGGCCAGACGAATCAAAGACCAGAAACCAGAAAGAGCAAGAGCTCTATTACAAAACTGGGCCCATAAATATCACTACGAACATATCACCCTGCAAGCGATACAGATGCTCAAGAACCACGACGAAGAAAACATTGTAGAACGCATCCATGCTTACACCTCGCCGCACAACCCCACGCCAAAACGAAGCCTCCATGTCATTTCTCAAGTCACTACCATAGACGACAGACAGACATTCACCGTCCCAACCCTTATCGACTCTGGTTGCACCAACTCAGTTATTGATCGAAAACTGGTTGACAAGTACACCCTCAATACTACGCCTCTGCCCGTCCCTCTTGACGCTGCAGGAGCCGATGGCCGATCCCAGAAAGTAACACACTATGTCACTCTTCACATCAATGTGAAGGGGAAAGAACATTTGATAGATGTCATCGTAGTGTCCCTACTTTCACCGCGCATACTGCTTGGATACGACTGGTTGATACTAACTAATCCAACAATTGATTGGCGGACCAACAAGATTACCTTCCCTGCCGATGATCCGGAGTATCATCCTGAAGAAGGGGATAAAGTCCTAGCCGTCGATCTTGAAACACGAATCATGGAAATAACACAACTAGAATTGAATGCTTTTGCCACAAAAAGTCAACAAATCGCTGAATCCTCCAAAAAGGCAAAGTCAAAGCTCACTTTCCGAGATGTTGTTCCCCCAATCTACCATGAATTCGAACCCGTCTTCACCAAAGAATCATTTGACAAACTTCCCCCAAAACGTCCTTGGGACCATGCAATTGAGTTAATACCCGAGGCTAATGGTCTTGACTGCAAAACATACCCTCTTAGCCGAGACGAACAACACCATCTAGACGAATTCCTTAACGAAAACCTAACAAGTGGACGGATTCGAGTATCCAAATCACCCTACGCATCACCATTCTTCTTTATCAAAAAGAAAGATGGTTCACTACACCCCGTCCAAGATTATCGCAAGCTGAATGAGCTTACCATAAAGAATCGCTACACCCTCCCCCTCATATCCGAACTCATCGATAAACTCAAAGGTGCCAATTACTTCACAAAACTAGACGTACGATGGGGATACAACAACGTCCGAATCCAAGAAGGAGACGAACACAAGGCCGCTTTCAGGACCAATCGCGGCCTGTTTGAACCCCTTGTCATGTTTTTCGGACTTACCAACTCGCCAGCGACCTTCCAGACCATGATGGACTACCTCCTAAGAGAACTGATCACGGAAGGAAAAGTTATTGTATATTTAGACGATATCATGGTCTTCACGGAAACACTCGAAGAACATCGCCAAATAGTCACCAAAGTTCTCCGTATCCTGCAACAAAACCAGTTGTATCTTAAACCAGAGAAATGCGAATTCGAGAAACAGGAAGTCAAGTACTTAGGCATGATCATGTCCAAAGACACTATCCGTATGGATCCGTTAAAAGTCGCAGCGGTCGCTGACTGGCCCACACCAAAGAATAAAAGAGAACTCCAATCATTCTTAGGGTCCCCCAACTTCTATCGACGATTTGTCAAAGACTACGGACGAATTGCGAAACCACTCACTGTGCTCACCGGAAAAGTTGACTGGACCTGGAAAGATGAACAAGAGACATCCTTTGAAACATTGAAGAAAATGCTTACTACTGCTCCCACCCTCACTATACTAAACGACGACGACCCGTTCAAACTAGAAACAGACGCCTCTGACTTCGCTGTAGGAGCCGTCCTATCCCAGAAACAAAATGATAAATTCAGACCCATAGCATTCCTCTCGAAAGCTCTTACCCCTGCAGAACAAAACTATGAAATTTACGATAAAGAGATGCTTGCAGTCATGACGGCGCTAGATGAATGGCGACATCATCTTGTAGGATTGAAACACCCCTTCACCATCTTCACAGATCACCAAAACCTCCTCTACTTCCGTCAACCTCAGAAATATAATCGACGCCAAGCTCGATGGTCATCCCAGCTTGCAGATTATAATTTTAAAATGGAACACGTCAAAGGAAATCAAAATACCAAGGCTGACCTGTTAAGCAGATGAATTGATCATCCTAAAGGCACAAACAATAACGAGAATCAGACACTTCTTCCAGACGTACATTTTGAAGTACTTGACACCAACGAAGGATACCTACCAGATATACGTCAAAGCTTCCAGAAACAAGACGACGTAGTAAAGAAGAACTTGAAAGAGAAGCCGGATACCTGGAAGATGAAGGATAGGATCGTCTGGATCAAGAGAGAGTCCGCGACGAGTTCCTACCCGATCCCATTAGCTGACCGCGTATATGTTCCCCAAAACCACAAATTACGGGCGCGAATATTGAAAGATCATCACGACGAAGTCCTGGCTGGACACCCAGGAGAAAGAACAATGTTTGAACAAGTAAACCGAGAGCTCTGGTGGCCAAGTCTTTGTACAGATATCAGACAATATGTACGAGGATGCGAGAGTTGTCAGCGCACCAAGGCACATCGGACGAAGCCTAACACCCCTCTACACCCAAACCTGATACCAGATTGGTGTCGATGATGAGAACAGTTGTTAGAAAACCACACACAAAACAAACTAACACACAATCCTCCCAGATTCCACGGAACTTGTTTATGGGCTTTGCCTCCTAGAACAGTGGAGTGGTCTGGTTGTTCGTGGGGTGGTATGTATAAAGATCCTTCAAAGTAAAACCCAGAGGTGTATGAGTGTGGGTTTTGAGGAGGAGGGATAGTTGAATTTATAGAAGGATAGGGGCTTTGTGACGAGTATAGATGAGCACTACCTTGCTAATTGTAGCACAAGGTAGGTTTGAGAACGACAATATGACAAGGTTCCCAGTGATAGCAGGCTCCTGACGCACAAACTGTAGTGCTCAGAAGGACTCTAATCAAAGGGGATGACAATCACTTTCAAAAAGTGACGAGTGACGATGACAGCAGTTAACAGTGGTAGAAGTGGGAAGTGTTGTGACCACACTGGATCACAACTAGTAGAGTAGTGAACTTGAGATTAGAGAAGAAGTCTGGATTGGATTTCTTGTTTTTTTTTTTACAAGGTAAAATACAGGGGTTTATATAGTAAAAGAAAAGTAGGCTATGCACAGTATAGCTGTGCAAAAAGAATGAGAAAGAACATGAAGGAAGGAATGTATGCTGACGAATCCTGCGTAGGTAGTACAGGATAAGATTGTCAAAAAAAGGAAAAGAAAGAGATAGAACAATGAATGCTGTGAGTAATGTCACAGGTTTGTACAGCCATAAAGTAAAGTCCAATAGCAAGACGAGCGACCGATGTTTTGATAGTATATGATGGTAGATCGACATCATAAAGATGGACCTGTTGCCCTATTTGAACCGGCCGCCGGGGCTTTGCTGATATCAGCAGTGGCACGTGGTAGTCAACGGATCGGCAACGGAAGCGGATAGGAAGTGGTGACATCAGAAATGGTGGGGGTGCAAATAAAATGAGGAGGAGGAGGGTGGAGGTGACAGAAAATTGGATTAGAATGGGGATCCAGAAACGACCGTCAGGTGAGAATAAAAAGGAGAGGAAGGGGCCCATGGTGGGGCTAGGCAAAGGAAGGGGAGTAAGGGAAACGACAAAAGCGAGGGCGCAATGCAATGTGTAGTCAGTGGCGACTCGAAAATTTGCCGAAATGCCGAAACGCGGAAAGTACCGAATGGAAAAGCAAAAGTGAGCGTGACTAGATTGCCTAATAGAGGTGGTGCTGATCAGCCACAAGTTCAAAAAGGGCAATATTAATTACTATTCCACGTGGCACTGTGCCTGTGTGGCGCAAAGGCGAGTCTTTTTGAATATTCGCTTCATTCTTGACACCTGTCCATGCTACCAATCAATTTTGGTGCATGACATCGGCCTTGGCAGATTATCACCACCGATCTCATAGGCGCATTACCGGAGTCCAAGGGCTACACCGCCGTTCAGGTCTTTGTTGACCGATTTAGTAAAATGGCCCATTTTGTCCCCACTTTTGTTACTCTCGACTCTGCCGGTTATGCACGTCAACTCCGAGATAATATAATACGACTCCACGGAGTCCCTGAAAAGATCATCTCCGATCGAGGTCCTCAATTCATGTCTCGATTCACGAAAGACTTTTACGACCTAATGGGGATAACACCAGGCCTCTCTACAGGCTATCACCCTCAAACAGACGGACAGTCCGAACGGATCAACCAGGATCTAGAACACTACCTCCGCGTTTTTGTAAATCATCAACAAAATGATTGGGCAGACTGGCTTTCCATTGCTGAGTTTACATACAACAACCATCTCCACACCGCAACGAATCAAACGCCCTTCTTTTTGAACTATGGGTTACACCCAAGAACGAATATCACCACCACACCGTCCCCTCGATCTGCTTCTGCAGCAGAATTTGGCGAACAAATGAAAAAACTCCACGACATCACGAACTCCTCTCTTCTTATAGCAAACGAGAATCTAAAGAAGTATTACGACCGTAAGAAATCCCCCTCCCGGGAATATCAAGCTGGCGATAACGTCTGGTTAGAGGGACATAACATCACAACGGATAGACCAATGAAGAAATTAGACGATAAACGCTTCGGGCCTTTCAAAATCACCCAAAAAGTCGGACCCTCCGCCTATCAACTCGATATCCCTAAAAGCTGGAAGTCCATTCATCCCGTATTCAACGAAGCCATCCTCTCACCATACCACGCTCCCAAATTCCTCAATCAACCGATTTCCTCGCGACCACCACCCGAGATTGTGGAAGGAATAGACGAATACGAAGTAGAGAGTATAATCGCTTCCAGACCGACTAAACTGAAAGGTAGTAAGCTCGACTACCTAATTCACTGGCATGGTTATCCAGTCTCCGAACGCACTTGAGAACCCGACACCAATCTTACACACGTCGCTAAATTACTCGCCGCTTTCCACAAAACGAATCCCTCCGCCCCTCGCATCATTACCGCTTCTCTTCACTTTCGCCCTTACGGAAACTACACCGCCACTTCTAAATCTCCGATGCTTTTTGACTGGATTACCAACAAGTTCCAGAGTGCCGCATCCGGATTCATGAGGACACGAGTCTTATAAAAGGGGAGCTAATGTGAGGAATCGATTTTTCTTATTGCATTCCCGTCATGTCGTGGTTAGCAGACTCGATCCCGTCACTCCTCTTGCCCTCGGACTAGAGATTACCGCAGGTGTCTTATTACTTTTATCCTTTTTCTTCTTATTTTCTATTCACACTCACGTCCTATCATACCTACGACGAGGTAGACTTGTTGTCGACCCTCGAGAAGATATCCAGATGACATAAGCCACGATCCAGTGCTATGTCTGGGAATACTTCGGAGGAATATTGATAAGCGAAGAAGGTTGTGAGTCAGCGCCTTCTCATGGGCTTACTGATACAGCCAATTGTACATCCCTTACCAATACATTTTCTCATACGATTAGTAAATACGATAGATCGGACCCCCTTCTCCTTTTTACTTATTGGTTAGCTAGCTGGTCAGACCACTTTCTCAGTTCCTCCCTTTCTCGGTCTGACCATCGCCGTTCACTATATAAAGAAGTACATACTCGATGTATTGTTCTCTAGTTCAATATTAGTTTGGATTTGCGCTCATACCGATACTCTTCATTCTCATACCCTGATTCACCGCCTTCCAGCAAGGACTTGACCAGGCATTGTGCTTTGTTATATAGCTTCGTATTTGTTGCCTGACAGTTACCCCTTAAGCTGCAGAGAGTTTGTTGGTTAACAACAGGAGGACTCGCTAAGGAGTTTCCTGGATCTATTGGGGTATATATACTAATACAGAGTGTTTGTACTTATGTACTGTACAGTTGATAAAGTCAGTGGCTGATGATGTAACAACCAAGAGTTAGTTACTCCGGCGCACACAGGAACACACTATAGAGAAGAGAGAAGGAGGGATCACCCCTCAGGTTTCAGTGAGTTAGTTGTGCTAGACAACAGGAGGACTTGCTGAGGAGTCTCCATGTATTGCTCCTGTATATATACTGAATACATGTTTGTTTGTACATATGTACTGTACAGTTGCTAGAGGCAGTGGCTGCTGATGTCATGGGGCCTAGCCCGTGTGACCAGCTCTACTGCGTGAGATACTTGTATCTAAAATAAGAATAAAGGCAGCGCCGCACGAGAAAGGTGGGGTTTGAACTAAAAGGGGAAGTGCCACATGGCACAGTGTGAAAACTACAGTACAAGATTAAAGCGGAGAATGAAAATAAAGGAAAGGTCCGAAAATGAAAAGTAAAGGTGAATGGTCACATGACTGGTCATGTGACTTGGAAAAAGTAAAAGTAAAGTACGAAAAGTAAAGTGTGAGTAGGTACTGGTATGTCAAATTGTAACAGATGATGTCATGGGGCCTAGCCCGCATGACCAGCTCCACTGTGTGAGAGAGTTGTATCTAAAATAAGAAGAAGGCAACGCAGTGCGAGAAAGAGGAGTTTGAACAAAAGGGGAAGTGCCGCATGGCACCATGTGTGAAAGCTAAAGTATACAAGGTTAAAGCGGAGAATGAAAATGAAGGAAAGGTCCAAAAATTGTGTTATCATAACAGCAACAAGGGCAGCGTCAATAGCAGTGGCGGACTGAGAAGAAGCTGGTGCTGGAGCCATGGAGGGGGTGTTGACAACAGGAAGGCGGGGAATGGTGCGGTCAACGACAGCGGACATGAGCACCATTGCGCTGTTGCTGCTCAGCGTCATGGTGGTGAGGAGAGATAGCAAAATGGCTGTGGAAGGAAATATTAGTAAGGAGATGGAGAGGAAGAACAAATGCGGATCATACCTATAGCTTCGTCCTCCACCTCAACATTGTCAACGCTTGCCGGACATTCAGGCAGTTTATCGTTTGAATGACTGGGGGAGGAAACTCAGTCATTGTAGAAGGGGATGAAACAGGTGAGTTGATTCGATAGGGAGATGAAGAAAATAACATGTACATTTTATACAATTAGAGCCTCATGGATGCTGAGCTGTACACCAGCCTAATGAGCACCTAACAAAGGACAACAATGGGAGTAGCAGAGAGAATCAGCCATTTAAGGTTGTGGGAATAATCTTGTCATTAATCGGGAGACGACTGTAATCAACTACTTTGTGTCTAAAAGAAGAATAAAGGCAGTGTTGCGCGAGAAAGTGGAGTTGGAACGAAAAGGAAAGTGCCACATGGCACGGAGTGTGAACTATAGTAAAAGGTTAAAGCAGAGAATGAAAATTAAAGGAAAGGTCCAAAAATTTGCGTTATCGTAACACAGACTGATGCCAATGATTAATAAAACTATGTGAAACTCAGCTGCTGCCCAAGAGGCTATAGAAACGACTTTATTATTTACCTATGTGAAACTACAATGGATGTTAGTTTAAGGTGATCTCTAATAAATGTAATGTAACATACCTCAGCCGCTGCCCAAGAGGCTATAGAAATGACTGAGGTATTTCTATACTAAACCCCCTACTACTTATAGCCGGAGGTGCTACTCACTATAGTATAATGACTCCTAGGAGTACAATGGTGACTCCATGGAGTGGTGGCTATGCTCCATGGAGAACAATGGCTGCTTTAGCAGAGACCGGGTTTATCCGGTTTTGTCAATGATATTGCGAGCACTCGTAGGTAGAAAAGAGGTTGTTAGCTAACATTGGCCTGTATATTTTTTGTATGTTTTTTGGTAGACCTCATCACTCACGAGACCGATCTCTGCTTCAGGCGTCACAAAATATTTATCTATTGTATATTAGTGTTTTATGCTATGCACAGTGTGTTTGCTCTTACAAACAATCGAGCGGGAGTTAAAAAAACCCTGCCGGGCTGCGGCTTCATCGAAAAGTCGAACTGTAACTAACGATCCACCGTACACATAGAGTGATCAGTTTCCATATTTTGTTCGAGCTTACACGGTCGAAGTCAGCTCAGACTATATCGTGTCGGCTCGCCCTCAAATGCCTCACGTATCGATTTACCCTGGACCATGCGACATCACTGGAACCGTGAATAGTGCATTTTATTCATACTATGGAGGTTGTGAGTCCATTCGTCCTATTTCTTCATGCGCCTCGCAGGTTTTTCTAGCACTGGCACAGATACAACTATATCCTATATTGCTTATTGCTCGTCTAAAGTTGGCCTGCCTCACCCTTAAATCTTGATATATTCTCTGTCGTCAACTCGTGAACGCACGGATAATCTTATACCATATCCTCGGACTGTCGCGATCAGTGGGTCAACTATAGCATATGGAAACCTCTCTGTGGTACCTTGCATATATATTGTACCCTTATTCCTGTCATTAGCAGAGATGGAGCGAGACGTGGAATTGGAACAAACCGTTTCGCATCAGAGTGTGAAGTATCTTAGTAAGTGGCACTTTTCCGTCTCTTAATTTATTTTCCGCTGTTGTTAGCATAATTCCCTTGCAGCGGGTATCTGGTGACTTGGAAATGTGGCAGGTGCGACGTGACGAGTGCTCATGCCAACTCTTTGTATTTTATCGGTGCGGAATTATACTCCCCAGAGTACTCAGTAGGCCTTTATACAATCAGAGTCGACCTCAGCCATGTTTAAATAAGCTGATCTTGCTATCCAGTTTTCCTGACTGTAAATCACTTTATCTATGACAGCGAGGAAGAATGTGCGCAGGTAAACTTCCCTCTCTGCTGTGCTGCTATTTAGCGCCATGGTCTTTTCTAAGAGCAACATAAATACACATACACTGGGTAGGCGGCCCGGCTCTCTATCATTAGGACTCCCGCCTTCAACGATCTCGTAGTGCGCTCATTAGACGCTTCTTCGGGGCTCCAGCCGTAACATGTTAATCTCATTATGCGCTCCCCGGGGTTTTTCCAGGTCTGACCGTGGTCATGACCTCGTCACGAGGACAATTGGACAGTTCTATCCTTTCACTCAGTCGTGTCTGAAAATTGTTTTAAAGCTAAGACATGTCCCCCCCGGTCAAACTGTTCAACACTACACCCTTTCACTATGCTTGGCCTTCAGGCGATCGTCGCCGTCGCCGCATTTTTTGTTGGTGGAGCTGAAGCCATTGGACAGGCTACATGTGTTTCTTTCCAGTCGACATCGTCTTCATTCTCCATAGTCTCTAACGGTAAAGCCGCACCCATCTACGTTTCGCCCGATGAATGGCCTGGCGTGCAACTTGCCGCAGCTACATTTGCCGAGGATATCGAGCGGGTTACAAATATCTTACCTGTTGTGTCGAACGTTACGTCCTCCGGTGTCCAATCTGGAAGCATCCCAATCATTGTCGGTACCCTTGGCCAATCTTCTCTGATTGCGCAGGTCATCAATCAAACGAACTTGGATGTTTCGTCTATTGATGGGCAATGGGAGGCGTTCATGACCAAAGTAGTATCTAACCCCTTACCCGGTGTGGACAGTGCGTATGTGGTGATTGGTGCTGATAGACGTGGTACAATCTACGCGTTATATGACCACTCTGAACAGTTCGGTAAGTACACCAGTCTTGAGTATATGTAGATTCATTTTTGCTCAATAGGTGACTACCAGGTGTCTCACCGTGGTACTGGTATGTAACGTCAATTATCCATGTCTCGTTAATCGCTCACGAATGAACTGTTGTATAGGTGGGCAGATGTTCCAACGAAACAAAACTCTGATATTTTCGTGTCTGCTGCCGGGTGCGCTCATGGGTCTCCTACAGTCAAGTATCGCGGTATTTTCTTCAATGATGAGCAGCCTGCCCTCCAAAACTGGGCCATGGAGAAATTCTCGAATGGTACTGGTGCATACTACACCGGATCACCCTTCAATCACATGTTCTATAATAAAGTGTAGGTTGTCTCGTTGCTACCTGGGAAACCCAAAATCATCATGTTCACTCACAGGTTTGAGCTGATATTGCGATTCAAGGGGAACTATCTTTGGCCAGGTGCGTCTTTATGACGCGGATTTGTTGCAGCTCTGCTGACATCTGGTCATCTAGCTATGTGGAGCAGGTTTGTTTCGTCCATCGGGTTCAGCCATTACTCTAATGCTATTCCAGTGCTTTCGCCGTCGATGATCCTACGAACCAGTACTACGCGAACATGTATGGAGTTGTGATGGGTACGAGGTATGCTTGATCGTCGACGTGGCATGAATGTCCACCTTACTTCTTTCGGACAGTCATGAAGAGCCTATGATGCGCTCCACTCCAGGTATTGGGTGTCTTTATCCCCCTGTTATGCTCGTAGTGACATGAGGTTTTCCAGTGGAATGGGATATATTCGGTGTCGGTGCTTGGGACTACGCTACAAACAAGCAGAATATATACGACTTTTGGATGGCTGGAGCTGAACGCGGGAAGCCTTTCGAGAACGTCTACACTGTGGGCATGAGAGGCTTGGGCGACTGTAAGCACGACTCTCGCTCTTGTCGCAGTTGAACTAGTTTGCAGACCCTTATATTTCTATCTAGTACCAATGACGTCGCCCTCTGTCGGGGATGATATTACACTTTTGGAACAAGTTATATCTGATCAGAGGCAAATATTGACAGACGTTTTCAACGGAACGAATGTTACGACCATTCCTCAAATGTGGTGTCTCTGTAAGTGTTCTAGCTGATATCACATGGATTCAAGCTTACACTGTGATCGAAGACAAAGAAGTGCTTGGGTATTATGAGCAGGGCATGACAGTGCCCGAAGATGTTACTTTGCTATGGACTGATGACAAGTGCGTGCTGCGATATGGCGTTAGATTCATTCAATTCTTAGTGCATCGCAGTTACGGAAACATTGAACGACTCCCGATCGCAAGCGAGCGCAATAGATCGGGTGGTGCTGGTGTATACTATCATGTGAGTCGACCTTGACAGATAATACAGGTAGATATGAAGCTCACCTTTCTCATAGTATGACTACGTTAGTGAATGTTAAGTTTTGAATGGTAAAGAACTTACTGGGAATACAGGTCGGAGACCCTATGGATTACAAATGGATTACTGTGGGTTTGAGTATTTGCTTTCCACGTGTAGATTTACTCACATTTAGCGATAAATCAGAGCTCACAAATAGCAAAGGTAGGCATTTCCTTATTTTCCCTGAATAATTACTTATTCGAAAAAAAGACCTACGAACAGATGTCTTTGGCCGTCGACCGTGAAGCAGTTCGCATCTGGATCCTTAACGTCGGCGATCTCAAGCCTTACGAAATGCAAACGGAATTTTTCATCAACTACGGCTGGGATGCATCAATCTGGACTCCGGATAACCTCAATACCTTCGTCAGCGCCTGGGCTCAGCGCGAGTTCGCTCTCTCCACGGAAGACACTGAGACGATCACTCAGATCATCGCCAACGTTTCTATGTACAACTCTAGAAGGAAACCAGAAATGTTGAATGGTACGACATACAGTCTGGCCAATTACAGAGAGTGCGTGCACAAGCAGCTTGTATCGTTCTCGGGCAAATTTAATTGACCGGGGTTTCAGAGCTGAATACATGCTTCGTGACTGGGAGATTGTGCGGAACGCATCTACAGCTATCTACGACAAACTTCCGTCAGCGATGCAGGCGGCATTCTTCGAGCTCGTTCAACACCCTGTGGAGGCCAGTTATACCATCAACACCATGTGGATATATGCTGGACTGGTGAGTAGCGCGCCACTGCTTCATGTAGTTTTTCTCCAGCAGACACAATCTTACGACTACTACAGAATAACCTCCACGCATCTCAAGCAAGGCTCAGCGCCAATGACTATGCCGAGAAAGTGAAAGAGCTGTTCCAACAAGACTGGGACCTCGAAGTTGAATACCACACGATTTTGGATGGTGAGTATCTACAGCTCTAGTCGCCGCAGCTACCCTAAACGCATGCTTCTCCACAGGAAAATGGGACCAGTGAGTAGCCAAAATTACAGGTAACATAATCTATGCTCAGTGTCTGTTAGCATGATGGACCAAACGCACATTATGTATTACTACTGGCAACAACCAATGCAAGACACGTGAGTCTCCACCACTGCACTTGCTCGCCTCCTTTTACTGAGCTGGTCCACAGCATGCCATACGTGACTTATGTCCAACCTCGAAAGCAATCACTAACTGGCGTCATGCGGATCGTACCGGAACAAAGCTTGGGTGCATGGTACGGCCTTTTATCCAAAGAGCCATTTTCTCGAGCTGATTCGCCGCCCTCACTAGGCCTGGAGATAACATGAACGACTGCGCTCAAGGATACAGTTGCCCCAATCCCACCATGACGCTCGACCCGTACGTGCCGTTCCAGAACCGCTACGTCGACGTCGGTTCGGGTGGCCCCGTCCCGTTCACATTCACGGTGACCAGCAACGCAAGCTGGCTCGATCTTTCTCCCTCCTCGGGATCCATATCCCCCGAGAACCCAGAGCAGCGCGTGTACATCAGCGTTAACGACTGGAGCCAAGTAACCGGCGCAGAGACCGCCATGATCAACTTCAATGCAAGTGCCTACACTGAGTACGAGATTGTGGAAGACACAGAGTTGCTGAACGTACCTATCACGTTCATCGCGAACCACACAGTGCCGCCTAGCAACTTCTCTGGTTCGTTCCGTGTTGCTCTTACCAACGCAAGCGCGATACTGACACTTTTGGTAGGCTTTGTGGAAGGCGATGGGGTTATTTCAATCGAAGCTGTAAGTACAGTTCTCATGAGGCCTTTGACCAAGGCAAGCTCATGTATGTGCTTCTTGTTAGGCTCATACCGCAAGCAACGCCTCCGTCGCTGGAATCAACTGGATCGAGCTACCCGGTTACGGACGAACCCTCTCTGGCATCACCCCCTGGCCTCGAATGGGCGACAACGGCACCAACTTCACAGCTGGCACCGGACCTTCCGTGTAAGCTGCATCTCATCTCATCTCCTCCCCCTCTCATCACGATACTGACAAGCGCGCATGAAAACAGGACATACGACTTTTACAACTTCAACACGATCGGCCAAGCCGGCAACGTCACCATCACCACCTTCGTCGGACCCTCCCTCAACGCCAACGGCGCCGACCGGCCCATCGCGTTCGCCATCCAGGTCGACGACGAGAGCCCGCTGACGGAGTATTTCATCCCCGACTCTACGCCCGGCACGCTGCCCGCTGCGTGGGACGGCATGGACGGGTTCGCGGCGACGAACGTCGTGCCGGTGATGACGAACTTTACGGCGCCGCCTGGGGCGCATACGCTCAAGGTATGTGGGGGCACACGCTGGTCCTTTTTTTTTCTTTCTTTTTCCTTGCCTTTTGATGATCAGGGTCGCGGTGGATGATGATGAATGGTCTTGCTGACTTGTTGTTGGTGCGCGTATAGATCTGGATGGTCGAGCCTGCTGTGGTGGTGGAGAAGATCGTGATAGGTGAGTGCTTTCGGGCGTTTCGTTTCGTCGGTTTGTCGCTTCGAGGTTTCTGATGGGCTCGTTCGCGGACAGATACTGGTGGACTCATGCCAAGCTACCTCGGTCCTCCGGAGAGTATGATTGTCTAAGTGTTGAAAGTGTCGTGCAGCGCTATTCAAGCTTTCAATTTCGCCTGCCCTCGGACAAAAAAAAGCTAGTGTACAACTAGATCATTGTAGTGCCCCCTTGATATCGTGTATAAAACGTCTTGCTCTTTTTCTTTTCGTTGCGTCTCGGCAAAGCTAACAAACATCAGACCACCCAACTTGTCGAATGACATGTGCGAGCGAGCGTGAAAGTCAATCGTGTTTCTGTGGTCACTTTTGTAGATCTACTACGGTCACGACACCTATAGGGCTCTACGAAACGAGCTACGTGACCCCCAGTGATAGGCGTGGAAAGACGAGAAACATAACGAACCCCTCGTGAAAGCAAAGAAAGCGTGAAGTCAAAAACAGCCATCAAACAAGTAAAAAGAAGAAAGAAAGAAAGAGTCCCTATCCATCCTCCCTCCTCCATTTCTCACACACCCACACCAGCCTACACCCCCCCCCCCTCCACCCGCCGACTCACCACAGCCCACCCGCTTTCTCACCCTCACGAAAGGACCTCCCACACCCCCAGCCCAGCGACCAAACACGTCAAGCTGACGAGCACGCCGACGTACGCAGCCGTGTGCACGCCTATGCGCGGGAGCGCGAGCGGGGTGTGCAAGATCGCGAGAGCGGTGTGGATGACGAACACGATGGGCAGGGTGATGAAGAGGGGGCGGTTCGAAGGCG